AACAAGGATAGCCATTCTGAGCTGACTAACTCAGATCCTGAAGCCAAGTATGAAACTCACACAGAGCAGTTCAAAGCTTTGGGACAAAAGAAAAGAGAATTAGTTTATGGAACAAGTTAAACCGTGATTATACTCAAATTTGCCCTCTCCAAAAAAATAACTTTAAAAATCTAAGATCTACCCACACTGAAGACCTGAATAAAAGCACAATAGAGCAAAGCCCACAGTAGAGCAGAGTCAATTATGCAGATACTTTGTAGAATTCCGAATTCATGTGTTTTACATGCACTTGTTCTATTATGTATTATATCTTTCTTCTCAAAAAGGAGAATTCAATTCAATTATGAATGTTGGAGAGATTTTTTTATATTACATTTCTTCCCCCCGCCCTCCCTTTTTCCATGCCTTTACAAGGGAAATGGTTAATCTGCTAGTAATAAACTGGGAACTGATCTTGGTTCCTTTTGCTAAAGAGTGAGGTGGGTTTTTCACCTTTGAAAAAGTTATTAAGGTGCTAAACTGCAACGAGGCAAGTAACTTTATTTTTAGGAACTAACTAGCATTGGCAACTCTCTCTATAGTAATTCTGAGTAGAACGTTCAGGGCCATCCAAGTTGAAACTGGGATCCATGAGTGAGAGAAATAATCAAAGTGTCCTTGAAAAGTCTAATTCATCTGTCTTGCTTCCCCCCTTCTCCAGTTGGGAATCCTGCTGTAATTACATTTGTTTGTTAGAGGACCATTTGTTATAACGATCTTCCTTCTTTTACTTCTTGCTCCTATTACGCGGTCTTCCTAATCTCCTACCCCAGTTCTTATCCTAAGGAGAGTGTTTATTACTGTACATGTGAGGACAGAAAGAGGGAAAAGTCCAAGTATGAGCTGGTTCTAAGGCATGCTCCTAGGAGTCCAACACTGTCCAAATACCAGGGTACTCCCAGACATGCCCAGATGGCACTGCCCAGATCAAGGGTATTTAGTACCAATACTGTGTAATTTGGAAAGACGGTTCAGCAGCTTGGGTAAGAAGAGTATGAACTCTGGAGCCAGACTGTCCAAGTTCAAACTCTGGCTTTAAACTGCACTTGGGACAACTCTCTGCCTCAGTTTCTTCAATGGTAAAATGCATAAAATAGTAGTACGTCCCTCATGGGATTCTTATGAGGATCTGTGGAGCTAATTCATGTATAGCACAATTCCAGGTTCATTGTGAGCCCTTCGTAATGTTAGGCATCGAGTGCCTACTGAGTTCCAGGTGCTCCCCCTGAATCATATGCTTTGGTAAATACAACAATGCTCTGAAGTAGCTATAATTAACCTTCATGTTATAGAAAAGACTCATAATGCTCTTATCTGAACCTGCATCAGAACTTTTAGTACCAGAACCAACCCAGTAGTCCCTTTTCTTGAAGGGAAACATGGTACCCAAATAATAATATAACGACTCGGAGTGTTAGCTATTATTATTGTGCCCATTTTATAGATAAGAAAAACCGTGGACCACAAAAATTATATGACTTTGTCCATGCTGTAGAATCCCACGCATGCCACTTTTTCTAACAGCAAACCTCACCTTGTATCCATGATACTGCCCTTGATTCTTTCTCTCAGAGAGTATTGATTAGCACTCCCCCCAAAATTGCAGAAGCTTCCCCAAAAGGTCCTTCTGAATTCTAGCCAAAGTGGTCCATAAAGAAGAAAGGAAAGTACACTCTCCCTTTTCTGTTCCCCGAGGTGTAGAGAACATTGGTTTCAAATGTCCAGTGAGGAATATTTTTACCGTCTGTCTGCCAAGAGATGTTATCAGTGAAAGTATTCAGTGTCTAGGAAAAATCACAGCCTATGAGTAGTTTAACTTACAGGCTTTTCACAAAGATAAAGCCTGGTTATCTATGCTCTTCAGCTCATTTCTCTTGCAAAGATGCAGCCACTAGCTATTCGTATATATTTGAGAAGAAAAATCTCTACGAACAGACACTGAGGCCTTTCTCATGCCCAGCTGACAGACAGAACTGCAAATGTTACCTTCGTGATGTGAGGGTGCAGAGGGCCACTGGACCCAGGGGTCTCTGAGACAGGACAGGTGCTTCTCTTTGTGTAAACAGTGCAGAAACACTGAGAAATGATGCGACCCAATTGTGACCATGATTGGAACAGGATGCAGCTCTTTGTACCCACAGGCATCCCCCATGTTGCCACTTTCACAATGGGCTTTGTCATACGAAGTAACCATGGCCTTCAGTGCTGCATGTTTACATAGACTCCATCATGAGAGAGGAGGGAGATGGGAGACTAAGGGTTGACAGCAAACCAGACCTTTGCACAGTTTATACAGATGCCTGGGTCCTTGGCAGGGTCAGTATCAATTATGACCAACACATGGTGGCTTGTAACAGTCAGCACTGGTCACTGAGCCGAGTAAATTGCTAAGTTGCACTGATACTGTGTCAGAGAAAAGATGATGCCATGTAAAATAACATTACAGGATGTGCTAACTTCTGTCTTAAATGCTTAGAGAAGGAATCTTATAAATACCTTAATAGATCTCCTCTACTATTTCCAGTGCTGGTAAAGAGCTGCAGGATGGACACTGTGGGAACAAAGATGGTACAGTTTTCTAGAACTTCCTTTATACTCTGGGAACCCAATCTCAGTGGCCGGACTTGTGGGCGGACAGTCCCAACAATGCCCATTCTAAGAAGCTGTATTTCCTGTACTTAAAGACATATGAAAATAAAAAGAAAAGAAAAAGTGCTATCTTTCTTCCTGCCAAAGGCATTACCTGTGAAATTTCCGACTGTGATAAAGACATTTATCTTCCTTATGTTTCCATTTCCTTTTCTCCATTCTGTATTTAAGCACTGCTCATTTGGATTTTAGGGAAAACATCATGATGGATTAGGGCTCTTGAGTTATATAATTCTCTTGCCATTTCTCTTTGTTTCTATAAGGAAAATCTAAGGGAAGTGTTAGCCGTGAGAACCTCATACTTATTTACACATATTTCTTCCCATCACTGAATATTTGTTATGTACGGAAATATAAGCATACTGCTCTGTGTTATTCATTATCTCCATAAATAGCATTGTTCTTCTGTTCTTCAAAAAAACATTAAGAATCTGTATAGGATTCCATCACTAACATTTTTTTTATTATGATTCTTTTCTTTGAATCAATATTACAATGTTAACCTAATCAAAATGTTCTGGCGGTCATTGGTTTTGTTATAAACAGTGTTTATGTTTGAAGAAACTACAATTTCAATTCAATTCGTGAGATACTAGTCTATTATGTGATTCTGAAATTTTTGCTTCCTAATCAAAAATACTTGAAGGTTATATTCACCTTTCCTCTTTTTTTTTTTTTTTTTTTTTAGGCTCAGAAATCCTGGATAGAAAGAGCATTTTATAAAAGAGAATGTGTTCACATCATACCCAGCACCAAAGACCCCCATAGGTAATCTTTCTGTCTGTATAATAAAGTGAGAACACAGAATTGCAATTAAGGGAACAAAACTATGATAGTAATCACCATGCATTACAAGGGAGCCAAAGTCAAGTTAAAGATTAAGTCAAGTCTTAATCTCTGCTGGACATCTCTGAAGCAATCTTATATGTATACACCATATAATACGTTGTGTCTGCAGTTAATTCTCTAAGAGCCTGTACAAAATAACAGGCACTTCATTGGGAAGGAAATAATCACTGTCTCTAAGTGGACTCAATACATTTTTAGTGTGGTTACTGGTTTTCCCTTTTAAGCATTTCATCAAAATGTTTCATTTGTAGCAATATTCCCTGCCATAATGAAAAGGTATTTTTAAATAAAAGACTCCTAGCAGATTACTAATTAGACTGCAGACCCTCAGATTCCTGTCCAAGTACATTTTTAATATCCTACCGACCTTACCTTTAGCTATCCTACTTACCTTCCTGATTTTGCCTTAAAGATTAACAGCATATTAGGTAGGAAGCGTTTGGGATGAAATAATATATGAATGTCTGGAAATGCCTTTGAGAAAAGGTAATATAATCAAATTAAAATATAGACTAGAAAGTCCTATTGACTAGCTGTGTAACCTTGAGCAAATTCTCTAACCTTCAAAACTACACTATTTTTACTCACAAAAGGAATGACACATTATTAGTATTTAAAAAATGATAATCCTATGTCAGCATTGTCATTAATAGTTATAATCGTGGTACAAGTAAAACATAAAGCATGTGTATCAGTATTATAACAGTGGTAGAAAAGTAGGAAGGATATTTTCATGATGTAAGGAGTGAATTTTGTTTTCAAAGATCTTGTAAATAATATTTTCATTGTTCCTTCAGGAAGGAACACTTAAGCTGTAGGTTTTTATTCTCAAAATTGGATATTTGACAGTGAATGTCAATTGGGGAAAGATGAGTTAGGTTGTGACTCACATATGAGTGAGAGTCCTTATTTAAATGTACATGTTAAAATTCTTCCCTCAAAACTGCGCAGTGGCCTTGGTGCAAGATTTGATAGATAGGAGGAGTGAGAAGTAGAAAAATCTATAGGGCTTTTGTTTGCAGGCTTCAATCCTAAACAATATGGCAGGTGTGGAAGGGATGGGTGGAGAAGGCCAGCAGGCATGTTACAACTTCTACAGCTAACGGAAAACAAATAGGGGCAGAAAAAAAAGATATATGTCAAGTAAATCTTGGGTTCACTATTTGCCTGATACAGCCACACTGTGGGATTCTGCCTGAGAATGGACGAGCTCACTATGGTTTGTAGATTTCTCTGGGAGGTCACCTCAGGTGGGTGTTCCAGGAATGGCTGACCCAAGGGGCTCACTTTGACCTCTTATGTTGTAGGTGTTGCTGCGGGCGTCTGATTGGCCAGCATGTGGGCCTCACTCCCAGCGTCTCTGTTCTTCAGAATGAGAAAAATCAAAGTCGCCTCTCCCGAAATGACATCCAGTCCGAGAAGTGGTCCATCAGCAAGCACACTCAACTCAGTCCCACGGATGCTTTTGGGACCATTGAGTTTCAAGGAGGCGGTCATTCCAACAAAGCCATGGTAATCAGAAAATCATTCACTTGCTTCTCAAGTTCCATCTCAGGTCCTGCAGAGGTTTGGTGAGGAGCTGGAGATTTCGTCTTTTGGCTTAATCCCACCTCTTCTGGGCTTGGCTGGGCCGTCAGCTCTCATGACCTTGCCCCTGTGCATTTCTGCTCTCCTCTGTAGAATAGGGGAAAGAAAACCTTCCTCGCAGGATTTTAAAAACAGTGCAATATCAGACAGTGATTATTGCTATTATTAATAGTAACAAGAAGCTTTCTATAGTGATCCACTGTTTATTACTTACTTTCTGGGTGTCCTCCATTAGGCATGTTTTTCTATCTCTTTCAGTAAAAAAAAAAAAAAAAAAATCTTACCTTTAAGTCTCTGTTTTGTTCTCTTGGTAACTAGCATTTCTCTCAATTCAAGGTAGAAATGATCATCCCAGACTATTTCCTTCCCTGTTCTAACAGAGATCTTGCCACCTAAAGTGAGTGCTTTTTGCTCTAAGCAGCTGTGTTCAATAATGTTCCCAGTAGAAGAACTCCATATGAAAGGCATTTTATTTGGAACAGAGGCTTTAGGAAACAATACAAATTTTACTTCTAAGAGTTGTTGCTCCTAAATTTCAGCTTTCATCATGAACCTCTCCCTACTTGGCTGGCAGATTTTGCCAGGAGAAAAGTGTACCATATGTTTTTGGAAATTCTAGAAGTGCTATAATTCAACAAGCTTGCTTCTAACAGAGAGTTGGTTGAGGGTGGCACATTGGAGGTGGCTGCTCTCAGGCTCACCACGAAGTTTTCTGAGTTTGGAGAGGAATTTGTGCTTAGAGAAGCATACTGCAAAATGCAAGGGAAGTCACTTCACACTAGTTCTAGTCTAAAAATGGGCAGGAGAGCCACCTCTCCGCCCTCTCTCTTCTCGCCTCCCTCCTCCCCCTTCCATCTTTCCCCACTCTTGCAAGATTTTCTTCCCCAAGAATGGCTGACTGCACTGTTCTCACAGTATTTCCTCAAGAAAATCAATTCTGAGCTATACGTTAGAGTAAAAACAATTTTGAGCAATGTATCGGGAAGAAGAGGAGGCTACGTGCAGCCTGGGGAAAAAGTGGGGGGTGGGGGCTTGGCCTCGGCCAATGTAGAACCAAGGGCAACGGAGATTCGCCAACTTCCTCATCTGCCCAAGGGATATTTCCATCTACACAAAGCCATGAAGGGTCCCCAACTCAGCATAATTCCCATTCACAGTACAGGATGGAACCTTATCCACCATGGTTCCTCTGGAACCATGCATTAATTAAAACTCATGCAAGTTCATCCTATAAGAAAAGGGCTCCAAAAAAGAAAGGAAAGGAGAGGAGAGGGGAGGGGAGGGGAGGGGAGGGGAGGGGAGGAGAAGAAGAAGAAGGAGAAGGAGAAGGAGAGCAAAGGGATGGAAATGGATCCAGAAGGCCAGAGGTCATCACTGGAGATACAATACGATAATGTTGAGAATGAAGTGACTAGCCACCCCCTCCACCACCACTCCCCCCCACCCAAAAGGCCAAGTGCTGTAGATGGGGAAGTGGCTTAGCAGGCAATATCACCATAGGGTGGCGCCACCAGTGATATCATAAGGTGCTTGAATGGTGACCAGAGGCTTTGTGCCCCATGTCACACAGCTGATATATGTGGGAATTTTTTAAGTTTATTTGTTTTGAGAGAGAGGGAGAATGTAGGGGAGGGGCAGAGATACAGGGAGAGAAAGAGAATCCCAAGCAGGCTCTTCACTATCAGCACAGAGCCTGACATGGGGCTTGAACTTATAAACTGTGAGATCATGACCTACGTCAAAGTCAGACGCTTAGCTGACTGAGCCACCCAGGTGCCCCATAGGATATGTGTGTATTATATTTCATGGCAGACTAAAAACTTGAAGAGGCACATCTTTCACTCTGCTCTTGAAGTGTGAACACATATGACATTGAACTTTGAGAGCCCCTCCCCAAGCCCCACATAGCTCTCTGAAACCCAGAACTATCTGTTGGCAATCTGGTTAGGCATGGTCAGCTACATGAGTTGTGGAGCCCAGTTAAAATGAAAATGTAGGCTCCCGACAGAGGCAGGCAAATCAATACCCCCTTCCCACGGCCAACAACCCCAACACACAGTAGACAGGTGACAGTCCAAGGAATTCCTGTCCCATAGTGGGGTATGCTCAGTATCTGGTGTGGGTGAGACTTGCCACCAAATCACCTGTGAAACACCATGGCACTGACGGCCTAAGGCAGGGACAGCTACATCCTTGCTCTGTCCTGAAATGCTGCAGGGAATACACCCCACCCACCTCTCCCCTTGCCTGCACTCACGTCTCAGTCTGGGATGGAAGGCAATGATGGAACAAAACCCTGTTGCTGCCCCAAGCGACATTGTGGAGGGAAGGCTAGACTGGCCAGGACACCATAGGTGGGAGTGGGTGGCCAAGATCCCTTGTCCCAGGGAAGGAGCAGGAGGTGGGATGTGGGACATTGGACCACATGTGAGCAGAGGCTCTGAGCCCTCTGCACGTGCTCCACTGCCCCATCAGACTACAAAACACAAACTCAGGGCTAACGTTGTTAAGAATTCCAAGGAAGCAAGCACAGAGCACTACACCCTAAGCACTGCCTTTCTGAGCAGTATGACCATAACACTGAGGCTAGGTCTCGCCTATCCTAGATGGTGTCACAACAGTCATTGTGAGGAAAAGCCTTTCTTTCAGAGTCTAATCAGCCAAATGAGAGCCAGTTTTCTTCCTTTTTTTTTTTTTACAACCAAATATTTAACAAGTGGGAGTCCCCCGCTATTTAGACACAATGAGCATTTTGTCTGCTTCGAATGAATACTTGCCGTTGAATTATTCTGAGTCTCTTGTCTAGACAAAGGGGTGGAGCCGACAGCTGGTCAGATGTCTTGTTTTATCAGGCAGGATGGTTGCTTTGTGCCAACCTGTGCCTTCTTTCCTGTTTTCCCTCCCCAACAAACCAGCATGCAATTCGGACAAAGGGAAAAATCAGCAACTACTCTCTGTTAAAGAATGTTAGTCTTCATATGGGGAAGGCATGGTTAAATATTCACCACGATTGAAATGAAACAGGTCAACTAACTTAATGTCTTTGGTCCCTGTTCCTGACAAGAATATTTGAGGGTTGAGATGATTTTGAAGCTTAAAACCTCTAGAGAGCAGATTAACTTTGACCTTTTATTATTTAAAAAAAAATAAAAAGATATACCATGAAATTTTTTTTCTTCAAGACAGCCCAAGATGAGGCACTTGGGTCTTCAAAATGCCATTGTAGTCAGGACACCCTGTGAGGCAGAATCTTCCAGCATCTGGTAGAAGTTTCAGTTGGAGAGAAAGAATCCTTATCAATATGTTGTGGGCCATGTGGGAACCATATCTTCTCAGGAACATTATGTATGTGTGTTATCACATAGGCAGTACAGCATGATGTCAGGGAGCTCTGGTCACCAAAGATGCTTGAGGGGATCTATGCAGTGGCTCGCTGCTTGGAGAATCACGGTAGCCTATGGGCTACTACCAATGCCCAGTGGCCAAGAATCATGCCCAGGGAGTCTCCCTCATTGGTCGCGGATAGAACTTGAGCATCTGAAGTATTTGAAAAGCTAGCCTAGTTATTCTCTTCAGTGAGGCTTAAAAATTGCTAAATAATCTCTGTCATTCTACCAGTATTAAAGATAAGGCAACTTGTGCCCAGAGAAGTTCAATATTTTTCTGAGAGCTACTCACTTATTCAATGACAAAGATAATTCTCAAACCTGGGCTGCTCAGGATTCCCCTTCAGTTCTGTTTTTTCTCTGTCATGTATGCTGGGTAAAGACTGTAGGAGATGTTTTGAAGGCATTTAATAACTATTATATTTCTAGCTCTTTTATAAGGGTGTTGAAAACTTTGTAGTTGGGTTATAAAATTACTCTTATTTGATGAGGTTAGTTAAACTGAAAAGCTATGAGCAGGAGAAGGTCTTTGGAACAGTACATCCTGGGTTAATAGAACCATTTTCTGAGCCTTTCCCAGCACTTTGTGGTGTTCTGTCCTCAATTCCCAGGGTTGTCAATCCTGGGAAAGTACAATAGCAATGAATCCAGTATCTCTCTCCTTTTGCAGAGAAATTGTGACCCAGGAAGGAGGCACTCATAGCTGACAGCGAGTGAAGGATCCTTACGCTCTTTCTTCTTGGCACCAAGCCACATCCTACCAAATTGCATGCCCCTCCCTGGCAGTTCATTCAAATATCTCCTAAAAGTCAGAACGTGAGGACCAAGGAAGAAGATAGTGAGATAGTAAAACTCTGGGTTAGACATTGTCTTACTTGAGTGAGCGTCAGGCAGCTTTTTAAAACTAACTTAGGGAGCAGTAGCAAGATGGCCCCAAAAGAGATATTGGGTTCTCTCAGAGACTACTTTATCTTGGGCTGTAAGTTATTTAGAAAAGATGACAGTGCTGGACTTGATTATACAGAATCTTATTTGCTACTTAATCATCTCGTCCAATTAATGCTGAGCTGTCTTGTGGAGCAGGTAAGTATCACCTAATTAAGGACTTGTATTTAAACCTCTCAAGTCTTTTGCATAATTATCTTCAGGTTTTCCCTTGCTAGTTACTCTGCTTATTAGATCAGGTTGAGCCCCTTGTTATAATTTTTATATAATTTAGATAATTATTCCTATGCCTCCTTGTCACACTTAAAGCTCTAACTGTTGAGTGTGCCAGGATGAAAAACTTATTCTCTGAGCATTGGCAGTAGGATGGAGGGTGGGGGGGGGGGGGTGTTTGCTGATGATGCCCCAGGGGGTGAGGACTCTGTCAACAGCAAGGCATCTACAATCTTATACCTTTAAATACTTTAGGATTAAATTTGATTTTCTTTAAATGTCTTTCTTTGCATTATGCAAATTTAACCTGGGAATCATCACTGATTGACACATACCAAATATGAAATTAAATGAATCCCAATTCACAAAATAAAAGAGCTA